AGAGAGAGAGAGAGAGAGAGAGAGAGAGAGAGAGAGAGAGAGAGTCCACATCTCATTGTTTATATTCACAAGAATATTATATGAGATTGAGAATGCTTTGTTTGTTTGTGTGTGTCTGAACTCATGTTCTCGTGTCACTCCCACCTTCAACTGCGAGGTGACAGGGTGTACAGATATTCGGAAAGCTTACCTCGTAGAGGAGGCATCCTAGCGACCAGATGTCAGATTTGAAGTTGTAGCCGTTTTCATGTATCCTCTCTGGTGACATGTAGTAAGGAGTACCCACTGGAACACAAAGGCAGGCAGGAATGAGGGAAAGGAGAGAAGCAAATAGAAAAGAAATAGAGGCAGTAAAACATAGACAAAAAGAGATGGAGGATTTTGCATTAAAAACTCAATTTTCTTTCATTTTCTCCACAAAAGTTGCATGTACATAAAATATTCTCTATATTAAACAGGATAGCTACAGAAAGAATGCCATTTAAAAGCATTATCTTTGTCAATTTTAAATAAAATGAAATAAGATGATGCTTGATTGAGTTAGATATCATCATGCAATCCCAAACCACATATCACAATTGCATCAGCATTACAAAGTTAAATACATACGTACAGAAAAACATTTCCACACACAAAAAATACACATAAATCAGTTCTGATTAGTGTGGCTTTGTAATGATCTGAAACAGTAGTCAGAGAACGTATCCAGGGAGCAGCAGTGGAGCCTTAAAACCTGCTCCATTCCTGGTTCTGGTTTTGAAACTCAACAACCCAAAAGTGCCATGGCGAATGGCAGAGCTCCAGAAAATCAGAGCGTCACCCAACTGGATGCAAAGAGGAGCCACAGCTCAGCGTCACATGCATGACACACTGCAGGAAGCTTTGGAGATCTGCTGTTTTCTTAGCTGAGTTTGACTGGCTGCTTTTATCATCTGCTTTCTGTTTATTGTGATTTCCCATGTAAAAGTCTTTCAAGCAAATCCAGTGGAGGCTTTTTATTGATCACATATGGCTACAGGATGGAAATTTTACCGACAGTCTAACCTATGCTGAGAAGCTCTCTGACTGTACTTGTTCCACATCCTCTCAAGCAGCCATATGAGTGCAGGCTTACTTAAATAAAAGGGTAGCAACTTCACAGCAACATCACTGCAAATACCTCAGAACAGTGCTTCTGCTTCAGATATCAAAATAGTCATCATCTTTCATCTTTTTCCCCTCGTATCTTATACGCACTAAATACGTTTGACGTTTCACCATTTATTGCTTAAAGTCCTATTTCTTCTTGCTAGAAATGCAGTGTGACCTGTGTTACTTTTTAAGCTAGAATTTAGTTTCTCAAGGTGAAAAAGTTTTCAGTCTAATCAAACATGACACGTCATCTCTTATGAACTTATCTCGTGGGTATTTTTTGGCTTATAAAACCTTAATTTGAAAGGCAAGATCTTCACCTGCTGCCTAGTAAATCCTGCACATAAACACAGTTTTTACCTTACCCATTCATTATGTCTAATCAATGTACAGTACACAACATCTGCTTTATGAAAGATTTAGACAGGGAAAAGGAGTAGGAAGAGTTTCTATCACAGTATCTGGCATTCGTTGAGTGTACAATTTGCACAAACAGCTTGAGGAGAACTGGGTTTGTGAGAACTGCTCTCAAGTGGTGAAAACTCTGGAGAAAAGTCAGCTTGTAGAAAAAACGGTTGGGAAAACCATAACTGCAACGTCACAGCACTGACATGTGCACTGACAAACTCTCCAGAGTCATTCTGCACATTAGCAGGTTTGAAGAAGCTCAAATATCGTAATTGCCATTAATAAAATCTAAGGTGATGATGGGGGTTCTGGCATTAAACTTGAAGACTACAGAGTCTGCAATGAAAGTTATAGCACTTTAAATTTTGGTGAAGATTTAATTGGTTTAGGGGGAAAATGTGCTTTTATCTTAAATGTGTGATTGTGAATAATGAAGTGTTACCTGTCATCCAAAAATAATCAGCATTGGCAAGAAAAAAATAAGCAAAAGAGCAAGAGGAACAATGCAGAAAGCTGGGACTGCTGTTTTAATTGGTCGTGAGGTGGTTTATGGGCATTCTTGTCTCTGTCTGAGTGCATATATACATACACACACACACGTATATCTGTGTGAGTAAGAGAGAGCTGTGAGGTCTCATGGTGCGGTTTGAACAGGCTCCCCTAACATTCATTATTAGTTGATTAAAAGAATCAGCCTCTCTTATGCTAATAGTTGCATAAAAAGGCAGCAGCGCTCGGCTACAGCTCCTTTAGTGAGCTGAATTAAGGGCACATTATTTATTCATGCAAATAAATTGAAAGCCATGTAGGGATTGATTTCCATTATTGTGAATAGCAATGACAACAATGTTTTCTCTGTACAACGGCATAAGCGTTGTTGAACGGGAGGTGAGATGCCATCGACTATAAAGAACTCAACACTACTGAACCCCTGCTGAGCGTACAGTAAAACGAACAAAACCTACTCTCGTCTAGAACGCGCTCATTGATTCGATGCAGCTTCCTTCACTAACTTTAAAACTAAAGCTCTTACAGGAATATTTAAAGGTTTCAGAGGGAGGTTTTATTAATAAACATCCTCTTATCTGTGCTCTATTACCAATTTTAGACTGCATTACTTTGAACAACACTCAAAGGCCATTATTGGATGTTTTYCCCCATACTTCTGTTTTTTGAGATATGAGCCCCTATCTCATATTTGCCTCTCTACCAACCTTTCATTCTCTAAATCACTTGCTTGTCTTTATACCTTACAACTCATGCATTAAACATCAATGTTGTTCTCAGCATTACAGATGTTAATTGCACATATATTACATAAATTACTATAGTTAATTGGCAGTAATGAATATTAGGTTTGCTCGTCTTAACACAATCAATGCATCCTCAGCACTCAATTGCTGACATTCTGCAGTTTTTCATTGTGTTGTTTTTTTATGGAGTGCTTGCAAAAAAATTCATGTGAACAAGCGTAATTATCTGCCTGGGCTTATGTCTGTTCAAACCCATTTGAGTGCACATCTCTGTGCAAAGGTGCGTTTGTACGAGAGGAAAAGATCACCCCTCTAAGTGTGTGCTGTCTTACAGAGGAAAGAAAATGTGTTGGTGTGTGGACTGTAGACTAGCTGAGTTGAAAGCCTTGGAGCTGACAGGCTGTAAGCCTGGACCTCCATCTCAGCTCCACCACCCAACTCCTCTGTTCAGCTGGGTGGCTCGGCTCATTACTTACCCATGCATTGCATAGGCATTAATACATTACTCACATTGTCTCTAGGTTTCACTTTGTGAGGTCATTCATCGCTGCTTATCCTCATCTGAAACCACAGTCAGACTTCTACCCCAACAAAAACCAAAGACAGGTTCTAACTTTAACTCTACAAACAAGTCTTATTTGTCAAAATGTAACAAGAAGAGCTTTTACTACAAAATATGGATAATTTGTTATAATTTTTCAATATAAGCTGCTCTCCCTTCCAGTTTTAATTCCTTCTTTCTTTGTCTCCTTTTGTTTTCAACTTGTCATTACCTTATCTTACAACTAAGGTAATTCTATCTTTTTTCATCCTTTAATGCTGATTTCTTCCATTTTAGACGTTACACATTTCTCTTACRGTAAATTTGTCTTCCATTCGTCGCATCTTCAGCTCCTTCCTTTTTGTGACACACCRCTTTCTCCTTTCCTCCTCACTTCACTCTCTCTTTTCACTCTCTTTTATTCTCACATTCTAGGTTTTTTTTTTCATACCTTCTCCATCCTTCTCCTTCACCTCCGCCGTCATCTTTCCCTGACTAAAAGTCAAAGCACCAGAGGGAGGGACAGCGGGAAGGAGAAGTGACAAGAAGTAAGGCACAGAAACAGCAGCAGGAGAGAAGGTGAGGTGACAAAGAAAGACAGAGAAGATCTGCTATTTGAAACACACAGCGAGAAATGTCAAGGGGAAACCCAGAGGGAGAGGGGGAGAGCATGATGTGCCCWGAGTCCTACATGTCGATAGGTCATGATAACCCACAGACATTATCTGCTTTTTAAGTGAAACAACCTTCATAATTATCTGGAAATGGTAAATACAACAGGACCTAAAATGCTTTAAACATTCATATGCAAAAAAAGGCAAAAAACAAAACCTATCTAAACACATTTAGGATATCCGTTTTACATTGTAAGTGCAATTACACCCAGTTTTGATGTAATTAATGACTTTTCTTTACCTGACAARTGAGCACGACACCGTTTTAGAAAACATCAACTTCAACACATTACGGTGCATAACTCTTCACTGACCTACTAATTTGTAAACTATATTCATATTGTAAACTGTATTCATACTGTAAACTGTATTCAGATTGTGAATTTGTTGACCAGTAGGTATGTGGAGCTGCCTGTCCTCTCTCCGCCTAAAGAGGGCGCTGTGGACTCAGATTTTAATGAGCAATCACAGACGCCTTCTCCCTGCTCTGCTGGAGCCGAAGGATGTTTAGCTGATAGGGTTTCTGTTGAGTTGATCATGTGACTAACACTTTTTGAGAGTCTGATCCGCTGCTGCAGCACAGGAGGCTGAGAATAGTTTGTGGTATTAACAGCCTGACATAAAGAACAGACACGGTGTGAATGGCGTCGCTTCTATTYGTCTACAGATAAAGTTTGACTAAATTTTCCAATCTATGGTGAAGCTGAAAAGGCCAGAGTGATGTTGGATAACAGCTTTATGCATCTGAGTGGATCAAACTCAAAAAAAGTGATATTTTTTTATTTGTCCACTTGAAAAGGTGATAAGAGCTTGATGATTTATTTTATCTTGCTCCATAAAAGGGGAAAACTTGAAATTGAAAATAGTGAGTATACTTACCTTAAAGCATGATGATATATATATTTCCAAGTTCAAAGCAGACAGTTTTAACAGTCCGTTAAGACTTTGATTATTGTGTCAATGTGAAACAACAACACTCACTTGTTTGAATAAAATACAGCATGATATACATATACAGTAAGGTCAATATTTGTTTGGACAGAGACAACATTTTCCTAATATTGCTTCTGTACGTTACCACAATAAATTTTGAACAGAACATTTCAGAGGCAGTTGAAGTTCAGACTTTCAGCTTCAATTCAGTGGGTTGACCAAAATGATTACATAAAAATGTGAGGAACTAAAGAATCTTTTAAACACAATCCTTTCATTTCAGGGGTATTTGGACAAACTGAATAAGTATAAATTAAAAGTTCATTTCTAGTACTTGGTTGAAAAGCCTTTGTTGGCAATGACTGCTTGAAGTCTTGAACTCATGGACATCACCAGATGATGTGTTTCCTCCTTTTTAATGCTCTGCCGGGCTTCACTGCAGMGGTTTTCAGTTGCTGTTTGTTTGTGGGCCTTTCTGTCTGAAGTTTAGTCTTTAACAAGTGAAATGCTCAATTGGGTAGAGATCAGGTGACTGACTTGGCCATTCAAGAATATTCCACTTCTTTGCTTTAATAAACTCCTGGGTTGCTTTGGCTTTATGTTTTGGGTCATTGTCCATCTGTAGTATGAAACGACGACCAATCAGTTTGGCTGCATTTGGCTGGATCTGAGCACACAGTCTGGCTCTGAATACCTCAGAATTCATTGGGCTGCTTCTGTCCTGTGTCACATCATCAATAAACACTAGTGACCCAGTGCCACTGGCAGCCATGCATGCCCAAGCCATCACACTGCTCTGCTGTGTTTTACAGATGATGTGGTGCTTTGGATAATGAGCTGTACCACGCCTTCATCAGACTTTTCTCTTTCCATCATTCTGGTAGAGGATGATCTTGGTTTCATCTGTCCAAAGTATGTTCTTCCAGAACTGTGCTGCTTTTTTTTGACATTTTTAARAAAAGTCTAATCTAAAAATCTCAAAACTTTCCTTTGTTACTAAACACTATGTTATTTTATGTCAATTCAGACATACCTGACATGTTGCAACATTTTCACTTACCGGTACATCTTCATCAGAGGTGTCACAGCAGATGTGAAAGAATAATTATCTATCATGAACAAGTCTTCAAGTCTTCTAATYGAGCCTTTTTATTCTTGATGCTTATGAGTGTCTTGCAGCGTGCAGTGAACCCTCTGTATTTACTTTCATGCAGTCTTCTCTTTATGGTAGATTTGGATAGTGATACTTCTACCTCCTGGAGAGTGTTGTTCACTTGGTTGGCTGTTGTGAAGGGGTTTCTCTTCACCATGGAGATTATTCTGCAATCATCCACCACTGTTGTGTTCCGTGGTCATCCAGATTTGTTTTTTCATTGATGAATTCACCAGTGCTTGCTTTCTTCTCAAGATGTACTGAACTGTAGATTTTGCCACTCCTAATATTGGAGCAATTTCTGAGATTTTTTTTTTGTTTTGTTTTCTTTTCTATTTCCGCAACTTAAGGATGTTTCACCTGCATGGAGAGCTCCTTTGACCGCATGTTTTCTTCACAGCAAAATCTTTCAAATGCAAACACCACACCTCAAATCAACTCCAGGTCTTTTATCTGCTTAATTGAAAATGACAGAACGAAGGMATTGCCCACACCTGTCCATGAAATAATCTTTGAGTCAATTGTCCACTTACTTTTGGTCTCTTTAAAAACAGGGTGGGCACATGTTAAGGAACTGAACTGTTGAACCCTTAATCCAATTTTAATGTGGATACCCTCAAGTGAAAGCTGAATGTCTGGACTTTATTTCCATGTATATTATATAACTATAACTTGAAAAATTTTCAATAAACAGATAAAAAAACTTTGCACTAGTGTCCAAATAGATATGAACCTAAATGTAAATATATATATTTGGTCTTATTTCCTCTGAGGGACAAAAACAGTTACAATCAGAGTTGCGGGACTTAAACACCAGTTATCGTCTGTGACAGGGTTAAAGGTCAAAGGAACAAAAGGTGTCTAAGAAGTCTGTGAAGAGACTGGGCAAAGCATATGGGAAGGCCACCAGGCTTAATATGCTAAATGAAATATTACTATGTGGTGCTATGTCGTACCAACATATAAAGAGGTATAAGTTACCTAGAGAGTGAGCAGCAGTTGTTTTAGAGCTGAAGAATCGTCCCAGTCCCAAGTCTCCCAGTTTTACTACTCCAGTAGCTGTGATGAATACGTTGGCTGGCTTTATATCTAAAAAAAAAGAAAAGAAAGAAAAAGAAAAAAAAGTGGTTGCTTGCTCAAAAAAATAAATCTCCTGAATTGGTTTGGCAAAGGTTTTGTTTTTAGCCACTACTCAAAATACTTATCTGGATTACAGACATTAAAATATCATTCAGCTAATGTGGGCGTTAGCAAGCTGTTTCCTAAAGTAATGCTAATGTGACCTGTGTAGTTCTTTGAAATTTACCGTCCCTGTATAATTGTAAGTGGCTTTTGAATAGGCCTTTTCTCTTAAGTGGTTGTTAAAGCTCAGAGCACAGGGTTCATTAGTGTCCCCATATCCTAATCAAAGTCTGTATTAGCAGAAGAACATCACCTGTAGCCAAGTGTGTCTCTGAATAAGCAGCAGTTTGAGCTAATAAATCCTGGACTTTAATTGGTAAGGCTCCACTGAAAGCATGAAGGCCCATAAACACTGTGTTTCCCGGACTCTGTATCGTTTAACGACTACAGTTTAAGCCTCCTATCAAAACAATACCAATGAAGAAAATTTAAGGGTTTTAAAATGAGCTATATTAAAAGTGCCGAATACTAAATATGCATTTTAGCATCTTTAGATTAAGTGTCAATACATTCATTTTGAAATGGTCTTTTGTCAACCCTCTTTTTATAAACCCAATTTAATACACAAGTTCTCCTAAGTACTCATGTACCTTTAAAGGATCACCAAAGTCCTAATGATATATTTTTAATGTTTATCTTTTATTGTTTAAGTGTTTGCTTGTTTTTTACTGTATTACATTGTATAGCAATTTGCTTCCTTTGAGGAGTTTTAAAGTGCTTTATAGATAAAATTGGATTGGATGGTATTTACTTACAATTACCAACATTTATATAAGATGTGTGCAGGTATACAGTATACAGCAACCCCACCTCTATGCATGACTCTTCGGGAGTGCATATGTTCAAGTGCACTGCAGAGCTGGACAAAGTACTTCCACACTGTTCTCTCTGGGATAAGCCTCCTCTGCTTCTTAAAGTGCTGTAGTAAGTAAATACACACAAAACACACACAGCAAATTGTGAAATCCTGGTTGCTATAAAATGCAGCAGAAAGAATGTACACAAAGAATATTTTAGTACACATGGGAAAAGGTCCAAAGTATACAGTTTTAAGATGGGGGTAGGGTGGGGGGGGATTTTATTGTACATGCAGTATTTGCGTGTCTGTACAGTATTCTTCCCCACACTCCTAATGCAAAGCAGACCACACTCTCGTCTAACCAAGCTCAGTCTCATTTTCTCTACCGCCGACAATGGAAAGCACATGCATTCTCAGGAACAGAGGGGAAAAAAAACTTTGTGGTCCCTTCAAAACTCCCCCATCTGGCACACAGAACTCTTGATATACAGCTTACAGTGGCACAGTGGTTCCACTTTTTAAGCTAATACAGTTATTGTTATTCAGAAAGCTGAGCTAATCCTGATCATCCAAATTGTGGAGGTTCTTCAAAATAAAAAAGGGCCACAGTGATGACAACGCTTCAATTTAGGAATAAAAGTTTATCAATCAAAAGTGATGAAARCCGATGATAGAAACTTCTTCTCAAGCAGCAGTGTGCACACTGTGGAAATGTATCAAGTGCTGCTATCAACACAGTTTTATAGGGGATCCTTCGGGCTCCAGTTTCAGGGAAGAAAAGCCTGGATGAAAGCCAGGGTTGGATGAGAGCTGTGCACATAAAAATTACAGTCTGAGTATTTAACATTCCTGACACTTTACTTGTATTTTACTGGGAAGTYTTTTACAACAAAGGCTTAAAGCTGCAGCATCACAAACTAACAATCTAGAAAAGGAGCAAATGAAACAAATGCATTGAAAACAGAACATTGTACAAAAAATAAAAATAAGAAAGAACATCAATAAAAACTTAGTGACTTTTTAGGGGGGAGAATGTGTGTTTAATTATTAATGCTACCCCTCAAAATTAATGTCTAATTTAAGGTATTCTTGAAAACTGTTACATTACTTGGATGCACAGCTATCCTACAGATCTTTGAAAATCCGTATTATATTTAACAAAAACAACTGTTTGGAGGAGGAGTCACTGGTAAATATCAGAACTGATACAGCTGAGGGAAATAGAAGTAAGCTGGATGTTTACTCAGTATTGCTTTATAGACAAAAAATATACCATAGGCTTTGCCTGCGAGTGGTCAATGACGTCCAACTCACCAAGTCATAAATAATACAATGGCGGGTGAGAGTTTGCATTTGTAATGAAATGTAGAATGCACAATACACTAAATCAAGGCTCCATATTAGGTGGCTGCATGCACGCACAATACATCACAACATAATCAATCACAGGTAGAAAAGTTGCTTCTCTAAGTTTTTTTTTCCCTCTTGGCATTATGGAAGATTTATTCCTAAAGCAATGTTTGATATATTCAGTGTATTACTGTGATACACACTATGCTTGCACTACATAAACAGAAAGCATTACACTTGTTCAAATGTATGAACTGATTACAGAATTGGGGGTGAAGACCTGCATGTGCAGCTGATAYATCACTTACGAATTACCAAATTTCAGGACACTACCACAAACACAAACCTCACAGAAGCAAAATAAGAATGCGATCAAAAGGATRTTTTCGTAAAACAACAACCACAGCCTCAGATGTGACTTGAGATCCACACCGACCAGTCAATACAAAATAAAACTTTAAAATTATAATAAAAGCCCCTAGAGAGGTTAAGTGTCAAGAAAGAGAAAGGTTTTTAAATATTTGGTTCATGCAATTTGCCTCGAACAATTTGAGTCCAAGAAATCCTGGAATTAAGACTCTGTGGTAGACGGACCATGAAGCTACTCACTACATCCATTAGGGTGGTTTGTAATATTTRCAGTTAAAACATTATAATTATTGATTTCCTTCAGAAAGACCTTTACTTGATTGCTTCTATAAATCTAACCAGTGTTTAACATGAGTGAGACTGAGAGCAAAMACAAGAAAACCAAAAGAGACAATAAATAGCGAAACTGTGAAAGCWCTAAAGTGAGGGTGGGAGATACCAAAAATGGAGTAACATGTGAGAGAAAGAAAGGGATAGAGATAAACGGAGATGAAGAAAAGGAGGAATAGACCTTGGCCTACATCCAAACAAAGCCTCAGTGTGGAGCCATTCTTTCTTTGCCCTCCCATTTCCATATCAGAGGACCGTTTGATGTCAATGGGGGAGCACATAGACACCCACCAACACCCTCTTTTCTGTGCCTTTAACAGCAAACATTGCACATGCAATATTGTGTAAGTGCATGCAAATCAAGAACCATCTGATTTCATCTRAATTCTGAAATGGTCAGAAAGAACAGGAAAGTGAGGAAGAGAGAGAGAGAGAATGGAGGAAGGAGGAGTGTGGAAGATGAGAAATCAAAAAGAATAAAAAATGGTAAAACAGAAGCATAAACTGTATAAATGGACATACAGCAACCTACAAATCAAATGTGTGAATCCTGGACAAAAAACCCCACCAATTGATCGTACTAAGAAATATCATTTTTAATGCTGCAGAAGACAAATATGCAAATAATAAACATGTATATGCGTAGGTGTCAGCATTTATAAGAATATGACACAATCCAAACACTCCTAGCATCTTTAGTAACTTAGCTAAGTTAGCAGTGACACTCAGTGGTTTGTTATCCTCCCTCCATGCTACCTGCCATGTTACATCTTTGTAAAATGCAACCCAGAACATTTGCTTGAATGTGTGTTTCGATGGTTGTGTCTGCACATTCTCTGCTTACAAAGTACACTATATCTATGTGTAAGGTGTGTGTGTGTGTGTGTGTGTGTGTGTGTGTGTGTGTGTGTGTATGTGTGTGTGT